TGATTGGAATTTCTTGACTGGGAATTTAGAATCATACGATTTCTTAGAAGTAGTTCAGGATTGTTTTTTGAAGCAGTTTGTGACAGAACCTACAAGGGGAAATAACCTGCTTGACTTAGTTCTGGCAAACAATGAATCCCTTGTTAATAATTTAGAAGTTTCAGAGGAACTGGGTGCTAGCGACCACAAATCAATTACATTTAGAATTGAATGGAAGTATGATAGTAGGGATAACTCAGTAACAGTCCCAGATTTTCGCTTAGCAGATTACGATGGGCTTAGAGAACACTTATCATCTGTTGACTGGGGTAACGAAGAGAGCTATAATTATGACAGTTTTCTGAACACAATACATGCTGCTCAAAGAACGTTTATCCCTTATAAGGAAATTAGATCAAATAGAAATGACCCTAAATGGATGAATAATTGGCTGAAATATCTACTAGGGCATAAGAAAGGAATTTATAGGCGTATCAAAAGAGGCGAGGGTCATCTTATGAATCAGTATATTGACATTAAGAGGGACATTAAAAAGTGTATAAGAAAAGCTAAAAGGGACTATGAAATTAAAGTTGCTAGGGATTCTAAAACTAATCCAAAAAGTTTTTTCCAGGTCTATAGAACAAAAGTCAGAGATAAGATAGGTCCCTTAAAAATAACTATGGGCATCTTACTGACAAAGAGAATGAAATGTGCTCGATTTTAAATAATTATTTTCTCTCGGTTTTTACACAGGAAGACACTAATAATATTCCGGTAATTAATTTTTATAGTGGGCCAGAAGAAGATAAATTATGTAACATCACAGTCACTAGTGAAATGGTTGTGAAGCAGATAGACCGACTGAAGCAAAATAAGTCACCGGGTCCTGATGAGGTTTTTTCAAGGGTTCTTAAGGAATGCAAAATGGAAGTCTGTGAACCATTAACTAATATTTTTAATTTATCTCTTCAAACAGGTGTAGTTGATATGTGAAAGATGGCTAATGAAATTCCTATTTTTAAAACAGGGGACAAGTCGTTACCGTCAAATTACCGCCCAATAAGCCTGACCTCAATTGTAGGCAAATTACTAGAGTCAATTATAGCTGAAATTATAAGAAGCCATATCGAAAAGCATAGCTTGATTAATGATACTCAGCATGGATTCACAAGAGGCCGGTCTTGTCTAACTAATTTATTAACTTTCTTCAGTAAAGCTTTTGAGGCTGTTGACCACGATAAAGAATTTGATATTATTTACTTAGATTTTAGTAAGGCATTTGATAGAGTTCCGCACAAAAGACTGTTGAAGAAAGTAGCAGCTCATGGCATTGGGGGAAGAGTGCTCTCGTGGATCGAATTATGGCTCACAGACAGGAAGCAGAGAGTGTCCATAAATGGGGTTAAATCCAAGTGGGGATCAGTAACAAGTGGCGTTCCACAGGGATCAGTCTTGGGCCCGTTGTTGTTTATAATATATATCAATGATCTTGATGAAGGAATGAGCAAATTCGCCGATGACACGAAGATAGGTAGGATAATTGATTCAAACGTAGACGTTAGGGAACTTCAGGAGGATTTAAACAAACTCTATTCTTGGTCAGAAAAGTGGCAGATGCAGTTCAATGTGGATAAATGCAAGGTTCTGAAGCTCGGGAGTGTCCATAACCCTAGCACTTATAAGTTAAATAATGTAGAACTTAACCATACAGATTGCGAAAAGGACTTGGGGGGTTATGGTGAGCAGCAACCTTAAACCAAGACAGCAGTGCCTAAGCGTACGTAATAAGGCAAATAGATTATTGGGATTTATATCAAGAAGTGTAAGCAACAGAAGTCCAGAGGTCATACTGCAGCTTTATACATCATTAGTAAGGCCTCACCTAGATTATGCAGCTCAGTTCTGGTCTCCATATTACAGAATGGACATAAATTCGTTAGAAAACATTCAGCGTAGGATGACTAAATTTATAAGTGGAAGATAGGTATTAATAAAGGGGATATTAACAAGGTCTTGAGGATGTCTCTCCAAGAGAGAACCCGCAGTAATGGATTTAAATTAGATAAGTTTAGATTTAGAAAGGACATAGGAAAGTATTGGTTTGGAAGTAGTTGGGTTATTGAGGCTAGGACTTTGTGTAGTTTCAAATTTAGGTTGGATAGTACATGAGAGGGGAGGGGTTTGATTTGAGAGGGGCTTGCACATCGGAGCATGTTTCTTGGGTGGCATTGAAAATTGGGTTGGTCAAATGTTTGTTAGTGGGATGAATTGTAAAGGACCTAGAAGCTCATTGCTAATAATCCCTTTAATCTCTTCTTAGAGCACTAGTAATCACAAGTTCTCTGTCATCATTACTGTTATCATTGAAAAAGCTCTTGGCTCGTGACTCCAATAAACATGCTCAATGGGAGATACTCAAAAATTACGAACAAAGGAATTTACAATTGCTATGGATCCCATTGGATTACTGAAAATGATTGTTATAGGAATGAAGTTATTGAGGAATACAGAAACGCAAATTTCCGAAATTTGCTTGTAAAAGTGAAACTATGTATAAACGCTTCGGTGCCAAAATCTAAATCTAAATCTTACTTACGTAAGTCTTATCCTAAGTCTTGTGAAAATGAATAAAACAAATTTCTCTCATAAATAACAACTTTCAGTTAAGTTTCTCAGAGTGCTTCAAATATCTCCAATAAAATTTCTTTTTGACTTTCTTTTCTCCATTTCCATACAATTTACTATCATAAAAAGTAATGCCGTTCAAATTAACTGTTAATGATTATTTCAATTTTAATTTCTTTTAATTCCATATTTTTGAAATTTCGATATACTTTGTAGCTTTTCTGATGTAAATTTATAAACATAAACTAATTTTTCTTTAAATTTGTACTTCATTACTACCATGTCACTTCCTTTCTCTAGTACTAACTAAATTTTAGGTTTAATATATTTATACACCTATTCTTAATGTTATTTCTATATTCACACATGGACATTATTTGTCATTTCCATTTCTAAACTTTTCAATAACGTCTCATTAAATTTAATATTCTATTCATTTTCCTATACTTTCAAAAAATATTTAGTTATACTCAACTATTAAATAACAAAAAGGCACAATACCGTGACTGGAAAGATACACAAATAACCCGCACATAAAAGACAAAAAAGCTTACGACGACGTTTCGGTCCGACTTGGACCATTGACAAAGTCATTGTCAATGGTCCAAATCGGACCGAAACGTCGTCGTAAGCTTTTTTGTCTTTTATGTGCGGGTTATTTGTCTATACTCAACTATTATTTCATCATTTACTAATTTGACTAAACATTACAAGTTTTGTCCTATTCTATTCAAACTGTAATTTACTTTCATGAAATCAAAATCAATCATAGATCAAAACTATTCTTTTCAACTAATAATAATAATTACATTTATATACCAATTTTCTTTTCAAACTTTTATTTATAAACTAATTTATTTCTACAAAAATATATTTATACTTATTTATAAATATACTATGATTGATAACTTTCACAAATTCTTTCAATCTCACTAATGTTACTTTATTTTATTGGAAATTTAACTTAAACTTTCATGATAAAATTTAGTATACCTAAAATAAATCTAACTAAATCAAATTTAATGTCTCAATTCCCTCAACAACTTTTTTTTAATCAATACTTTCATTTTCCACATATATTAAAATTTCTACAACATTTCAAGTAGGACAAAAATACATTTATCAATCAATTTGAAATTTTTATTAAACAATCTATTACATCAATTAATTACTAATCTATTTCATTGATAATACTAACTCTTCATTTAGGCAAGTGTATCTATATTCCAGTTCCTAAAATTAAGCCTCACTACCTTCTACCACTATAATCCTAACACTTCCCCTTCATTATAACTAGTCTATTTATTGGTATCATGTTTCACAAACAATGTTACTAACCATTTCACAGTGACAAATAAACCCATCCAGAGTACATTAATACCCGGTATTTCCAAAATGCAACCCTCCACATAATGCCTCAAACACCACAAACATATATAAACTCCCACATTATATATACACTTGCAGTCATATTAATAATGAAAAATCTGGGATGCGACCTTCATTATTAACTCTATGTTTGTAGGCATTAGTGAAAATTTGCTCTAAAAACCAGCAGTATCTTCGCTCTTTCAGTGTTCAAAGTCATTATGGCTTTTACAATGCTCATTCCACAAATCACCAAAACCTATTATACCTCCCTTAAATTCAATAATTAACTATCCAAAAATATTTTAATTTCATTAACTCACTCACTCCCTCCCTCCCTCTAATCTACATAATCACTTCTTCCTCCTCTTCTACTGCTGCTGCTGCCGCCGCCACCGCCACCACCACCCACACTTCTAGAAACCGACGAAAAAAATCTAGTGACATTTCGAAAATTTTTTACATATTTCAACATATTTTAAATTTATTTATTTAAATAAATATTAAACAAAATTAAATCTTCTATCTTACATAACATATTCAAACTTGGATCAATATTATATTATTTATTAAATTATAAAATCTTAATCAAACTTTACATATATTAAATATTCATTACTTTAATTTTTTTAGTATATGATTTAAACTAAATAATTTATTCCATTAAATCAATATATACAAAGTCAATAAACATATAACCCTTCTTTCAAATACTTACTTATGCCTAATTCTTAACATCTTTACTAAAATATTTAAAAATCAACATATTACTGCTTATTTACTTAAATTTAATTTTAACCATGCCCATAATACTATGTATAAAAAACACTCCCATCTTATAATTAAATATTTCTTTCTACTTCTATCATCTTAAAATTAATCCATAAATTTCATTAATCTATTTCTTAAACTAAAATTATTAAATAATACTTAACTTTTCATAATTAGCTGGTCATATACTCCGACTAAACCCAAAATAACAAATACCAATCAACCTGCAAAATAATTTAAAATACATTAATTGTTTAATTATAAAGACTCAAAAATATTTAAAATACACCATCTAAATCAAAATTAAAAACATTTCATTAAATTTAATTTGTCTAAATTCAAATTTATTATTATCTAACCCATTAACTGCCATCATCTTTCTTAAACTGAACAAAAAAATTAATTAGATAAAATTATCAAACTATCTATACTAGTCATTATCTAAAAAAAAATTAGTTTATTTAAACTCGACAAGTATTAATACAAGTGTATACATAACTCCCACATTACATATACACTTGTTTAAAAATTAATAATGACAAGTCTGGGATACGACCATCATTATTTATTCATTGTTTCAACCCTAAATATATAACAAAATTACTTTCTTCCTTATCCATCTAAAAATACCCTCATCCTCTTAAAAATAACAACCTTCTCCCTACACATACCCTTTAATTCTCAGAAATAAATAAAATTACTAAACAAAATAATAATACTCAACTTATAACAAAGTATAAACAGTAACAGCAGCAGCAGCAGCACCCGCACCACTACCCTTCAATCAGCATTCAGTCACTCAGTCAGTCTTACCGCTAAAAAAAAAAATCCATCATTGATTCAATCAATCACATACAAAATACATAGTCATACACCTCAATTATAAAAAAAATATTAATAAATATATCAATAATTATTTTCAACAATTATAAAAACAAATTAAACAATACACACCTTTCAATATTAATTGCTGCCTCTCCCACTTAGTCACTTACAATGACAGTAAACCCCAAACTCTTCAAAACCTCCACAAACCTGAAATATAAACGCATCTATTAATAAACATATCAAACTAAATAATTATCAAAAATAATAACCATGTACATAAAATAAACCTTAATACACACCTTTCAAAATTAATTCAGAGCACTCGTTGTCTCTCACAAACTCAGTCAGTCAGTCAGTCAGCCAGCCACTCACATTTACTCGTAAACTCTTCATAATCTCCACTAACCTTAAAATAATAAAAAAATCTATCAATAAATAATATTTAAATAATAATTAAATAAAACTAATTTCTAAAATATTTCAAATATGATAATACACACCTTTCAAAAGTAACTCATTATACTCTCTCTCCCTCCACCAAACTCGCTCACACCCTCTGTAAAATATAAATATTCTATTACATTAACATTTCTCTCATCAAATCAGTCAATTTTCATATGCAAATATTATAAAACTCAAATACACATATTAAGACCTCAAACATTACAAATATATACATAACTCCCACATTACATATATACTTGTTCAAAAACTAAAAATGACAAGTCTAGGATGCGACCTTCATTATTTAGTCAGTGTTTCAAACCTTAATACTCAAAAATTTACTTTCTTCCTTGCTCCTCACCCCATAATTATCTTTACCCACACAACACTATTCTCCCTATATACCTTTAATGCTCTAAAATAAATATTTTAAACATATACAAAACATAACACAACACCACCATCACAACCACCACTACCACCCCACACTGGCTTCCTCTGATAAACTCCCTCACCCACATTGCCGTCAAATCTTCATCACAAACCTAAAAAGAAATAAAATTCTATTAATAAATATTTAAAACAATTATTACACATATTTCCACAATAATTCATTATACGCATCGCCAATTCAAAACTCAAATCATTAATAAATAAAACACTTCAATTACATTGACATTCCTAAATAAAACTTTCCCATTTCAAATACAATTATAATATAAAATAAGGGCTAAACCACAAGGGCTATACACCACTTAACATAAATATTATCAATTTTACTGTCATGTTTCTTAAACACTACAATCATTTGGATATCTCTTAATATTTTTTTTTTAATTATATACATAACCGACATTATCAAAAACATAATTACTACTATTTCTCCTATCAAAATATTAAGACCTTAAACATTATAAATGTATACACAACTCCCACATTACATATACACTTGTTCAAAAACTAATAATGACAAGTCTAGGATTTGACCTTCATTATTTCGTCCGTGTTTGAAGCCTTAATACATTCAAAATATCTATTTTTGTCTCAAACAAAATCCTGTCTTCACCCCCGGAACACCATTCTCCCTATATTATACCTTTAACGCTCTTAAACAATTTACATAAACATAACAAAATATTACTTATCTTAATACATAGCAGTAAAATAATCAACACCACCACCACCACCACCACCAGCAGCAGCACCACCAGTAGTACCAGCAGAAGCACCACCAGCATCACCAACACCACCATTACTCCACACTTGCTTCCCATAACAAATTAACTCAATCACTCACACTTATCCGTCAATTCTTAGTCACTAACCTGGAAAATATAAAATATAATAATTCTTATATATTGACATCTCTAAACATTTTCTATTCCATAATTAAATAATATCTATTTTAGTGCCATCACTTTCCTTAAACACTACAATCATTTCTTTCTTTATTAATATTTTTTCAAACTCTATACAAACTACAAATTACGTTAAAAACTAAACTCATCCTCTCCAAACATTAACACCTTAAATACCACAAATGCATATAAAACTTTTACATTACTTATAAACTTGATAAAAAATTAACAATGATAACTCTGGGATGTGATTTTCATTGTTTATTTCGTACTTCAACCCTTAATGAAATAAATACTCACTTCATCATTAATTAACAAAAAAATTTTATTCACCCTCTGATAAACCTTCCCCCTATAAACATTTAACACTCAAATAACTTATTTATAAATATTATTCATCTTCTAGATGAATGGTTCAGAAAATTAACATGTTGATAAATTTTACACATATGCAACTCTTGCATATCTTTATTGAGGAAACGTTTCGCCACACAGTGCCTTCATCACTCCATACGTAGGAGAAACTTGAACAACACGAGGAGAATGAGTTAATCAGTCCCTCAACCTTGAGTCCATGTCTTCAGTCTATAAATCTGATTAAGCCACTGTGTGGCGAAACGTTTCCTCAAATATGCCAAAGAGCTGCACACGTGTCTAATTTATCATTACTTATCTTAAACACAAATAGCCAACCAGCCAGCCAGCCAGCCAGCCAGCCAGCCAGTCATCCCTCAATCCTCGCGCTAACAAATACCTCACCACAACCGGAAATAAGAAAAATGGGTATTAACATTTTTAAACATTTCAAACATTATTAATTACAATATTATTCATAAATACATAACAAATACACACCATTCCACAATAGCCGACCATGCCAAAATCAACCACCCACCCACCCACTCAAAAACACTCCCTCAAACCTCAACTTACTTCACCAACCTCAAAAAATAAATATTTAGTTACTAAATATCTCTCTACATCCCTTAAACAAAATTCAATCAATAATTTACATAAACATCAAACATTACTCATCATAACAAACCTCAACTTCCATCAACCTGTAAAAAATAAAACATGAATATAAAACTGTAATTTTTTATCATTTCCACAAATAAACTCAAATTATATATAAATATTTATTATGATTCAAACTCATTCACAAGAAAATACTCAATAGTAATCATAGTGATTGATAATTAAATTTAAAAATAAAGTGCTTCTTCAAACTTAAATAATAACAACAATAATCAGTGTGAATAAATTTTCAATATCAAAAATCAATTCTCTTCTCAAAGACTACTACTGCACTTCAGTGGCTATTGACTTTCAACTTAATACTCATTTCCATCCTAATCAACCTACTTACTTTCCATTATTTTAATAAAACGACATTCTCACAAACATATGAACCCGACTTTTTCTACAAAATACATGACATGTGTCGAATCCATCATCACCTCTTGGTCACTGACTAATTCTGTTAGCGACAGCTTCACTAATATTACGATTCGCCACTTGACCTGAGCAGAGTGTGCAAGCGTGATTCCTGCCCTCTGCTGGCAATTGGAGGATAATTATATTTTCAAAACATGGCATAGTCTGAGAATGAGTATGCACACGGTTTGCCTTGAACTGGTATGTGTTGTAATAACGCCTCAGTCTGAAAAAGTGCTTTTACCACAAACTATCCGTGACACCTATGGTGTTGCAGATCAACAACTGTATGGTGTGCCGCTAAATGCTTCCTATCGCATTTTCGTCAACTTGAGATCAGCTCGAGTGTATGAACAGTTAGTTGACAAGTACCGGGATGTGAATGTAGACATTAATTCAGTAATACGTGTTCCACACATCAACGTGCCTAGATATTACACATGGGTCAAAGTCCAAAATGTGCCATTTGAGGAACACGAGACTGACCAAAGAATGTACGTATTTGAACAGTATGCAATTGTACACCTCGTTATGGCTGGTCAATGTACGAATAGAGTATATGCCAGATTGCCCAATGGTACATTCATCCTCAAAATAAAATTGAAGCATTCTACCACATCTTACGTCATACTGGACGCATTTAAGACGTAGGTAATGGTTTACTACGCTAGGCAGCACAAGACGTGTACGTTACATTGTGCATATGACCATATGGCGGCCCAGTGTGGGACATGGCAGCGGAGACAGGAACTACGTAGCGAGATGCTTAAAGAGCCAGAACCGGACATGGGTCATGCTGATGACTTACCTGTACATACAAATGGCACTTCTTGGTGTGAGCAAGTGGAGCGTCAGGTGCCACTGGTGGGTACTAGCCCGTCACTATCACAGTTAGTGGGATGTAAGGCATCTGCCTTCAAGACCGAGAAAACTCTGCAGAGTGGTCAAGTGCAGGTACAGGGAGACCTAATGGTGAACGTGAAGGAAAATTCCTTTGAGAAGGTATCTGAGGATAATTTTAGGATGGTGACGAGTCCTGTTCATATTCAAGATTAACAACTTGAAAGATTGGCAAACATGGCACATGACTCGCCAGGAGTGCAGCAAGTGATTGAGGTGAATCCTGATATTCACAGGGAGGTATCCATCGAGTTGGAAATGGATGCGGAGAGTCAACCGTAATAGGGCGGCGACATATTCCGACTCGGATGTTGTTTTCACCACATCACAGACACCAAGGAAAAACCCGTGGGCTCATGTGATGCGTGGGAGCTCTAAAGGTACACCTGGTCCGTTGTGGGATCACCACAAGACAAGTGGGCAGTGGAGAGAAAAGTGGAACAAGACACACTAAAAGCGTATCGGTGAAAGGTGAAATCATAAAACTAAGTTTACGGTGCATGACAATGAATATTAATGAATTGTGTGCGAGTGAGAACCGTCTGTGGGTACAGGGATTTTTAAGACATTATACTATAGACATTGTTTTTGTGCACGAACATAATTTCAAGCTGGGAAGGGAATTGGAGGTACATAGGTATACAGTGTTTGTAATGTATTCAGAGAAAATAAAGGGAGACGTGGGAATCCTCATCTAAGAGAAGAGCCCGTTTGTTCTTAGGAATGAGGGAAGGGATGGGGGTACTGTGTTAAGAATAGACAGGTGGTGGAGAGTCGAAAGAATGCCAGTAGTTTCTGTTTATCTGCCAGCTGACAATCAAGTAAGGGTAAAGAATGAATTTGTGAATAATGTATTGCTATATTATTTGCAGTCATTACCATCAGTGACAATAGTTGGTGGTAATGTACTGTGGTGCAAAGGCAGGATCTGAAACCAAGGGATGTAGGCTGTTTCTTGACAGGCTTAAAGGATCTATCGAGAGGTCAGGGATTCAAGGATATACGTAGTTGATCGAGGGGGATTGAGAGATAGAAAACATATTTCATAAAAAGGGTTATGCTGCACAACTAGATACGTTGTATGTGACAAGGGAAGTGAGGGTGACGCACGTGTAGACTGTCAATGTCATTTATTCAGATCATAGGGCGGTTTATGCTCATTTAAATTGGGACAGTTTGCCTAAGAAATATTTTGGGTACTGGAAGCTGAATGTATAACCACTGGATGAGGAGTGGGTGAAGGGAGAGGATTCTCAAAGTTTGTGGAAGGACTTATGGGGTGGGGGTGACACTCCAAGCGATTAATTGGGGTGGTGAGATGGGCTTGACAAGAGGAGGATCAGGTAATATGTGCAAAGGCGAAAGAATGAGGTATGCATGACATATTGCCTTCAAGAGTATTAAGACGGGCAGTTGCAGGATCGTCATAAGAGGATTGCTGTCGTAGGTGTGTATCCAATGGAGGAAATTGAAGCGTTAAAGTGCCAGATAAGACATAGGTACAATGAGAGATTTGATAAGGCAAGGGTGCAAAGTAGGTTACAGGAGGCGAGTAGGGGCGACAGGCCATCAGCCTGTGTTACGGGGCAAGCAGACACGTAGGTTGGCAATGGAGATTGATAAGCTAGTAGTACACGAGAATTTAGGTGGGTATACAAAGGGTCATAAGTTGTAAACTACTGAGGTTATGAGTAGTTTTCTGGATATTTGGTTTGAAAATTATTTCCAAATTGTACAAGTGAATGGTGAGGATTTAAAGAGATTGGGAGAGAATGTATCTTGTGTGTTGATTCGAAGTGATCGTTTAGCATTGGGAAGACATATTGAAGAGGTGGAGGTATGGAGAGCTTTAGAGAATATGGCGAGAGATGAAGCACCAGGTATAGATGGATTACTTATTTAATTCTATATGAAGCATTGGAGTGTGTTCAAAGATTTTTTAGTGAATATGATGAATATGATAAAAAGTGAGGGGAAGATGGATGAGTTGCAGACTACTGCAGTAGTAGTTTTGATTCCAAAAGGGAAGGCCCTATTACAGTGCAGAACTATAAGGCATTATCATTGTTATGTGCTGATTATAAGATATTCACAAAGATCTTGGGGAACAGGCTGAAATGTATCATACATAGTGGTTGCGAGAGGTCAGTATGGGGTGCCTAGGACAACGATATATGAGGGGCATGGAATAAAAAAAGATTTTCTGGAAATTATGGAGGGGGAGGACAAATAGGGGGAGGCGTCTTACCATTGGATTGGAAAGTAGCATATAATTGCGTAGAACGAGAGGCATTGTCACACATCTTGCATAACTATAGTTTTGGGGAAGAGATAGTGCATTGGATTGAGACTTTGTACATCTGTAGATGTACATCTGCAGGTGAATGGGAATTTGGAAAAGAGTTTTTCAATGGGTAGAGGCATAAGGCAGCGTTGTCCTCTATCTCAACTGTTCTTTGCTTGTATAAAGAACTCTTTTTACAGGGCAATGCAGAAATGTTTAAGGGTGGTGTAGAAAATGGAGGGATGGGAATAATATGGTATGTGGATGAAACAAAAATTCTAATGAGCAGGTAGGAAACTTTACATGAGGTGTAAGATGTGATTGGTGGTTTTCAAGGAGTTACAGGTTTAAAATTGAATGTGGAGAAATCAAAATTATTAGTCATAGGAAATTGTGTAGGGAGGGCAATATGGGAAACACTTGTGCATTGGTGAATACACTAAAGGTGTGTGGGATAATTTATATGGGGAATGCCGGGGAGGCACGCATAGTTAATTCTGGGAGTGAAGTGGATAGCTTGGTGCGTACGTTAAATGTCTTGAGACCCATGAATTTGATGATATATTAACATGTAATATTGTTGAATATAATGTTGTATAGTATGGTCTGGCATGCGGTAACAGTATATCCATTGCCAAGACCAGACAACTAAAATCCTAAAAAAGGTTTTTCGATATATATGGGGTTCTGGGTGTGACTGGTTGGGTACGAGTGTAGTTATGCTACCCGTCAAAAAAGGTGCATTGGGTTTAATAGATATAAGATTAAGGGTTAAGTGTATATATTTGAAGAGGGGATTTCTCCGAGTGAAAGGTCGTATGGGGAAGGGTGTGCAAGAAACAATTATGTGAGGAGGCACAAAGGTGGTGGGTAGGATCAGAGATGAAAGTGTGAGGATGTGATGAGAGCTTTATTCTATGTTACAGATCCGTCTAGGATACAGGTGGGTGTTCTGGAGCATGATCTAGGGGTCAGGGTGATTGAAAATGTTGACGCCATATACCCAATGTATGCATGGGGAGACATTTAGGTAACATTGCAGTTGGTGCGCATCAGACCAAGAGTGAGACATATAATGTTTCGTTTCCTTCATGGAATATTCCCGTCTGGTGTGGTGCTTCAGGAGAAACTGTTGATGGTGGACGACGTATGTAGGGCGTGTGGGGATAGGGAAACAGCTTTTCATGTACTATATTTTGGTAAAAATTTGGAGTGTCTATGAGAGTGGATGGGTGGAATTTTCAGGAGGGTGGGTGGGGAAGAGATATCGGTATTAAGGGCATTGACTTTATATGTGGAAGACTGTGCAGCGTGCTTTGGTGTACATCATAACTAATTTTGTTTTCATATCATGGGCCATGAGGGGTAATGGGTGGTGCAAAAGAATGTATTGGCTGCAATAATGTACAAAACACTTAGTCGTAATACGGGGATATACGGAAGTAGATGTGAAAGGGCTTTTCCTGAAGGATATCCAGGTATGAGTGTCAGAGGTTTCTTGGCAGAGTGAAGAGGGGGGAAAGGGGAGGGGAATGTGTTAGGAATTTCAGGGGTTGCACCAGGCTACTCTCAGAATTTGGGAACTTATAACGAGTTCCTAGATATGGTGTAAAATGGCAGCGTAGTTGTGCAGTGTGTCTTAAGTAATTTTGTCGTGGTTCGTAAGGGAAAAGTTAACAACATTTTTATGGAAATGGAAATGAGAAATAATTGTGTGATTGATTGTGACAAGTATACGGTCATACTCAGGATGGTTTACTGATGTATGTAATGGATAAGTTAAATTTGGAATGAGTTGTAATGTATTATCAGGACTGGTGGTTCTATCAAAGAAAAGGACATGCAGGCATGATAAATATATGTGTACTGCTAATAATGAGATAATGTCAAGCGTGTAATTTTTATCATAAATTAAGTGTATATACAAGTATGTAAGATATTTTCATTTACTCATTATGGGTTGTATATTATTATTCGGTCAAGTTCAATGAATATTATTGACGTGATGGGTATATAAGGACATGTGTTCATGTATGATGTGTTAAGTACAATTAGGATGGTGATGCAAGAAATGCTGTGGTCTGTAAAATAAGAATATACTACTTCTTTAACTTAATGTTTAATACTAATGACTATGCATATTTTATTATATGGTAGAAGAAGAAGTTTGTTAATTAAAAATGGAAATTATATTTTAAAAATATTAATAAATATACATGATTGTGTAAATCCATTTGTAGTATGATGTAGTGTTTGTTCGCTTGTGGGATGAATGTAGTGTATGAAAGTGAGTGGACCGAATCATTTGTTATATTATACTGTGTTTAGTTGTTCTGTGGTGAGGTGTGGAGATTGTTATTTTCTAAACTTTATTTGTTTCGTAATTTTTGGAGGTGTTATGTATTATGTATTTGCATATCAAGTTTAATATACAACAATAATAAGTGTGTAAAGAATTTTTGGATAATTGAAAATGTCTTCGTACATACAGTTTTATGTAAAATGTCAATACCTGTGACATTCTTTGGGTTATATTGCATATTGTGTTTATGGCTGCAATTTTTGGATGTAATAAACCCACCTGTATTTGAAGCTGTAGGCTGTCTCTAGTTTGGTTACATGTATGTTGTGTGATGGTTGGGGTTTTTTGGAGGGGGTATCAAACTTTTACTTGAACGTGTGTTTTCTTACGTATAAGTTTAGTGCTAAGGTAGGGAATGTGGAGCTTTTCATTGTTATATATATATAATGGTTACATTTCATTGCTTACATTGTCTACATG